TAAAAATGGGAATTATTTATATATAAACGTGTCGAAAAAGAAAAATTTACGCTTATCTTCGCCGTTTTTTTAGTTTTTATTACATGGTAAATAAAAATTGATATAAAAAGGCAAAGTGTACGAGGGTTTGTGCCGGTAAATAAGAAAAATAGTGCCTCGAAAAAAATGGTTGGCACACACATAGCTAAGTTGAATATGACTTCAGGTACTCTGGGAACCTGACGGTTCGACCTGATCGTGTTTTTTGTTGCGCCGCTGGTTGTTGCAGCTGTGCATTACCAGGCACATCGTCGAGAATTTCGATAATTGAGTCATCCGTCGGCCGGATGTAGCGAGCTGAAACGTCACTTACAATGGGGTTGCCTTCGAAATAAGCTGGTTTCAAACGGTCGATACTGACAGTATCTTCGCGTCCGCCTCGCTCAATTACATAGAATTTCTCATGTCGCTTAATCACTTTGAACGGCCCGTCGTAGGGTGGTTCAAGTGGTCGACGAACAGCGTCGTGGCGAACAAACACGTGTGATGTCTTCTGTAAACTGGGGTGGACGAAAACATCAGTCGTTTGCGGTCTAATCGGAGAAGGCCTAACTGAACGCATTGCGTTTGTAAGCCTAGTCACGTAAGATGCCCTGTCGGAAACATGTTTGAAAGTTGAAGGGGAAACAAACTCACCTGGTAGGCGAAGAGTGGTCCCATAGACGAGTTCTGCAGGAGTGCATCCAGCATCAACTTTCAACGCGTTACGAATACCTAGTAGGACTAGAGGCAGAGCCTCGGTCCACTGAGGTATGTTTGTAGCTGAAAGGGAAGCTTTCAGCTGTCGATGGAAACGCTCTACCATGCCATTTGCTTGTGGATGGTAGGCTGTCGTTCGGAACCGAGTGCAACCTAAAAGTGCCGTTAGAGCGTGAAATAGTCCGCACTCAAATTGGCGCCCACGGTCGGTTGTGACGTAGGATGGACATCCGAAGTTCGCGATCCATCTTTCGACGAAAACACGAGCAACTGTTTCGGCAGTAATATCTTTAATGGGTACTGCTTCCGGCCATCGTGTGAAACGATCAACACAGGTGAAAAGGTAGGTACATCCATTAGATTCTGGTAGGGGTCCTACAATATCTATATGGACGTGGTCGAAACGCATGTCTGGGGCTAGAAATGAGCCTAAAGGGCTTTTCGTGTGTCGCGTGACTTTACACTTTTGACAAGCTAAGCACGACTGGGCCCACTCCTTAACGTCTTTGTTCATCCCAGGCCAGCAGAAACGTTGTGCGATAAGCCTAATGGTGGCTCGTACACCTGGATGAGAGAGTTTGTGCAACGTATTGAAGACGTTGCGTCGACAACTCTTCGGAACTATTGGGCGTGGTTGACTAGCAGAGACATCGCACAAAATTGCATCCTTGTCTGATCCAACAGGACAAAGTCGCAGTTTGAGAGTTGTGGACGACAACTCATGATGCAGCTCAAGGTCTTCCTTTTGACGCCGAGCTAGTTCAACGAGATCAATACCCTCGATATAGTTTATCGAAGCTATTCGAGATAGTGCGTCGGCTGCGGAGTTGTTTGCTCCAGAAATGTGGCGGATGTCTGACGTGAACTGGGAAATGTAATCCAGCTGTCGCGACTCACGAGGGGAGTATTTGTCAGACGCCGAGCTGAGGGAAAACGTTAACGGTTTGTGGTCTGTGAAAATAATGAAATCACGACCTTCCACAGAATGTCGAAAATGGCGTACAGAACAGTACATGGCTAGGAGTTCCCTACCAAATGTACTGTATCTTGTTTCCGCGTCTTGCAGCCGCCTCGAGAAAAAGGCTAACGGTTGCCACTGGTTGTCAGTCAACTGTTGCAAAACTGCTCCAATTGCTGAATCAGATGCATCAACAGCAATACTCAGAGGAGCATTGGGGTCATGATGCATAAGCATGGTTGCGTTCGAAATGGCTTCCTTGACTTTGGAGAAAGCAAGTCTAGCCGCGTTGTCCAGAGACACGAACTTCGCAGTTCCTCGAAGTAGATCTGTGAGTGGTCTCATGACAGAGGCACAGTTAGGGATAAACCTTCGGTAATAACTTACCAGGCCATTGAAAGTGCGGAGATGTTTCACAGTGGTCGGCTCTGGATAGTTTGTGATAGCCGCCACTTTATCTCTCAATGGGCGTATACCTTTGTTGTCAATGGTATGCCCAAGGAAGCTGAGTGATTCAACTCCTATTTCACACTTCTGTAAGTTAACTGTGATGCCATGTTTTTTGAGTCTTTCGAATGCGAGGTCCAAATGTTTAAGGTGTGTTTCCTTATCTGGACTCGCAATTAGACAGTCATCTATGTAGACATGAACAAAATTCAGACCACGGAAGACGTCGTCCATAAAGCGTTGGAATGTTTGTGCTGCATTCCGAAGACCAAAAGGCATGCGCAGGAATTCAAACAGGCCAAAAGGAGTAATAATGGCTGTTTTCGCGATATCTTCTGCTGCCATAGGTATCTGGTTGTACGCTTTGACTAAGTCGATTTTCGAGAAAATGTTCATGCCGCATAAGGTTGCGGTCAAGTCGTAAACGTGGGGTATAGGGTAGCAGTCCGGAGTTGTTTTGGCGTTAAGCCTTCGGTAATCACCGGTCGGACGCCAGTCGTTGCTATCCTTTTTGGGCACCATGTGCAATGGCGATGCCCAAGGACTGTTCGACGGTCTGATAATGCCCAGTTCCAGCATATGGTCGAATTCATTTTTCGCCGTTTGCAGCTTATCGGGGGCTAAACGGCGAGCTTTGGATGCCACAGGTGGACCTGTGGTTGTGACGTGATGCATAACATTGCTGGTTATGCACGGAAGAGTGTGTTTCGGTTGTTGTAACTCTGGATATTTCTCCAGAACTGCCTGGTAGGACGCGTCGCCTGATTGTTTAGTCCTAACGATGGCTAAACTCGGACCTACATAGGTGGTGCCGCCAATAGATAACTTTGTGTTGTTATCTATCAGTCGTCGACGGCGAGCATCTACGAGTAGATCGTAATGGTTCAGCAAATCTATGCCAATGATGGGCATAGAGACGTCTGCCAGGAGGAAAATCCAGTGAATAGGTTTGCGTAAACCTAAGTTGAGGTAGGCATACCGTCTCCCGAATGTCGCGATTGCCTTGCCGTTGGCTGCTTGAAGATTGAAGGATGGGTCGAGATGACGCTCCTTTGTCGTTGCTGGAAGAACGCTAACTTCTGCGCCGGTGTCGACGAGGTAGCGGACTTTCGTTTTAATGTCGGTGACGTAGAGCAAACGGCTTTTTCCGCCGGCTACGGTTGCCGTGAGCACGTGCCGGCGTGACCGTTTCCCGAGTTCGGTCCTTCTTAAAACGGCATGGTTTACGACATTTTCTGGCTTCATCCCCGTAAGTGTTATGAAACCAGCACCATTCAGGGTTTTCCACCCTGTTGGGTTTCGTTTTAGGGCTACCACGCGACTTGCTGCGATGCGCCAAGGTGCGTTTCTGTGAAGTGCTACGTGATCTAGGACTTCGAGATCGTAGCAACCGTTTCACAGAGTTGCACAACTTGGTCACCTCCGAATCCTGGCGCTCTGTTTTGTCACAGATAGAATATACGTTGGAGACGGGTCTGCTGGATATCTCCAGTATTTTATCTGCTGAAGCTGCCAGGTCGTCGAGTGGGACTGACTGGAGTGTCACCAACACGGTTTGCACCGGTTGTGGTAGTTTCGAGAGAAATAGTTCTCGGAAGAAACCATCGTCAAATGTTCGTGCACCGATTACTTCTCGCATGCGTGCGAGGACTTCAGTAGCTGAGTGGCTGCCTAGCTCGATGTTACGAAGCAATTCGTCTAGACGTTGGCGATCTGTGAGATCGCTTTTCTTCAAGAGTGCAGCCTTTAGAAGTGCATAAGGGTCACTTACTTCAGGATTAAACATGTTTGCTGTAACAACCTGTTTAATTCTCGCGGTAGTGAACGTATGACAGCAAGAAATCGAGATGAGGATCTGAGACACCCTGTTCTCGAAAATCGGCCTCGGCATACAGAAACCATGTTTCTGCATTGTCTGGCCAATATGGCACGAGTTGGATCGTGTTCGAGGTCGGCTTAATACGAATAAGCTTGGGAGTGTGGTCGGACATGAGAAAGTGTAGTAAATGGATATATAAATGTTATCGAAATGAAAACAATAAACAAATATAAAATGGAACAGGCTCACCAATTCAATACTTGCTATTGTTCGGGATATGTGATCACGTCGGGATATTTGATCACGTCGGGCTCACCAATTTAGGATTTGTCCTGGTGCGAACTTGACAGACGCAAAGACCAATCACTAATTATTCGAACTTGTTATATACCCACGAATACGAGACCAAGGAAGAACACGATAGCGTAGTCGGATGGAATAGTATATTTGGATGGTTATGCCAAAATACCGATGCGTTCCAACTAACTGGCTAGAGAGTCGAATACGAGCAATGCAACGTAACACGACAGCGTGCCAAATGGCGAGGATGCTTGACCGGATGCCTTCAGCTTAGCGAGTCCAGTTAAACTATCAAGGTCAGCATCAATGTCGAAGTCGTCAAACCCTAGGCTATTGATTTTGGGGAAGTGTATGACGCTACAAACCCATTGGGAAGTCGGGCGTGCCACCCACAACGAACCCAGGTCACAGGAGGACCAACTCGACCAGAGAGATCAAAAACTACCAGTTTTCTACGCTCGCACTATCAATATTGGATATTGAACCAGCGGTGATAGTATCTAACACGGAACATAAGTGAGTAAAATTCATAAAACAAGAACGTCAGCTACATCTCCAACGTCTGTAAATCAACAAAAGTTAGTTAGCACGAAACCAATCATTCAACATTGTCTACTAAGATGGCGGTAAATGACCTTACAATGGTCATAAGACAGCAATTTGATTGGTTTCCAAGTAGTAAGGCGTTTGTTCAACTTGACCTGTAGAACAACGGCAGTAATAGGCATTCAAGATAAGATGGCTAGTTCAGGAAGTCTGGGTCCAAATACCTACTCTTCTCTTGTAAGTGACTGCTAAATTTTTAACTGTTGGTAGACCTGTTTCATATTTTTGTTCAATGTGATTGTTGGTACAGGTGTACTAACGCTTCCGGCTGCTTTTCAACATGCAGGATGGTTAATATCTGTTCTTGTGATCGTTATTCTTTGTTTCCTAAGGTAAACCTGACGTGAATAACCACTCTTAGTTTTTTGACATTTACATTTGTTATTGAAGCACTGTCAATAACTAATGTGTTGCAAAGAATGAAGGGTGTTCACACTGTCCGCAAGTTCACTACAGTTTCGGATCTAACTATACTTTAGCCGCCTGAAGAGCATGGTAGTGGTGAAAGTATTGCCGGGAAAATGTCAAGTGGTACGTGTGAAATCGTGAAACATATCTCACAGATGTTCTGAGGTTTAGGATTACTGCTAATGATTTTCTAATTACCGATAAATACGAGCTTGTGAATTGAACTTAGTTCTGTAACATGAGTTATTTTTAGGGACAAATGTCATTAATTTACTTTGGAAATTTGGGGAATATTCTTTTTTACCTGAATGTTTGCACGTATCTTTATGGCGACCTGGCTATTTATTCCACAGCCGTTCCAAAGTCATTACGGAATGTTGTTTGGTAAGTAAACGTTTTAATTGTACCAATAATTCTGTGTTTATTCTCCTGGACGTGTACCTATTCTAAGAGGTAGTAGTCTTCTGCAAGCATTCTATAATAGTAAAATGCAAAATAACCACGCGCTAACGCGGTTTTTGCTCAACTAAAATGTTATTTCTTCGATCATCTATGTTAACATTGCAGCTGTGAAGTCGTTACTCCGTTAGGCGTCGAAGATATTCACTTGGCACTATTGCAGTGTGCTTTTTCAGTCCCACTACTGTTACTTGATTTTACTGAATGGTCGAAATTCTATCATCTTGATGTCACTTAGGAAACCCATTTTAGAGTAATTATGTTCGATAAACTTATAGGACGGTAATGAAAGCCTTGAGTCCTTCTGGTTACCTGCTTGTAGCACCATAGATGAAGGTATCTTTGAACGGCAACCAATAATTCCTCAGCCGATTATCTTTCAAGGTAGCTGTTAATAATTATGTTTTGACTACTTATGTAGATACGCCTGTGAACTCACAAGTTGTTGGCGTTGCAAATCTGTGTATCTAGTTTGCCTCTAACCACAGGTTCACGTCAAACACCTGTTTTGGGTTTAAAATAAATTTCTTATCTGAAACTCCAGCCAATTTTCTCCTAGTCTATACCGGAAAACTGTTATAATACAGACAGCGTTAAATGTGGCCAAAGTGTATTAGTTCCGGTTGTCACGCTGCGTAGGAGCATACAAAAAAGTGAGGATAGGAATAAAACAGTAAGCAATATTGCGGGAGAAGAGGGATAATAAATGGATAAAGGTTGAAGAAAGTAATCAAGGCTTCTAAGGCGAAGAAGACTTTGTACATCTACAAGATTCTTTGCTTTCGGTATCTCTAACAAATTTACGAGAATATTATGAATGAATTGATGCCTATCTCATCGAGTGTGCTTTGCATGTGACAATTGTATCCAGATCTAATCCGTTAGCTTTTCTTATCAAGAATGAGTTATCTGCTTGCAACAGCAATGAGCATCAAAACTACTGCAGTTTCAGAAATGAGTTCATTTCTAAGTAGTTTTGTTATTTCTTATTTACCTTTAATGACTGTGAAGTTTCACGTGTCTTCACCCTAGCGTTACCACTAATTTCAACTCCTAATCGTAGTGAAATATCAACATCTGACGCGATGTAGTATAAACAAGGTCATTATTAGGGGAAATATTGATGGTGTGGTAAATATGCTCATCTTCTGAATAACCACAGATTACGCCTAATTTTGAAAGACAGTTTAGCGATGTGATATATAAGGTGGTAAACAGCACTTTTAAGTTTTTTATTTTTGACCTAAAGACTGCACTAGACTCCGTTAGTTGAAAGGTTTTATAGTAGTATTCTAGTGGTAAGAAAGTGTTGAGCAAGTACTGAATGTTAATTAAGGCTGTCTACTCGAACTCATACAGTCGTGTAAGTGTCTGAAGTTGTCAGCTTGAGAGATGACAGTAAGAGCTCTTCGCAAAATACTTCAACTTCCATCATTTGCTGGTGACTATACTTGCTCCAGACCTTTCAAACACCTACTGTTCATAGGTTACCGGTTAGCCTGGAATATCCATGCAGTTTTTTCGAGTGAAAACATGGATAAAGCATAGGGTCTTCTGGGGATCTTGAGAAATAGTCCGGGTGCGTTTGGCATGTGTTTCACACCTGTTGAATGCAGGATGATTCCTTCATATTGGTCTGTATCGACTCCTGGTGTAAGGATTATGAGTGAGCTAGTGAAACCCACTGAAAACACTTATTTTAGTTTGCTCCAGCTCTACTGGGCTGGATGCCCACAAAGTCTTAACTCAGATACATAAGGCCTGTTAAGGCATCACTAAGATGTCGTTATCTATCAAATGGTATTAGTTTGTTAGAAGGCATAGGGCTTAAGAGAACACGGAAAGGGTTCATTTGTTTATCCAGCATTGTCATGTGTCATTGAATCACTGGATTAGTAATATAGATGTTAGGCGTAGAGTACCAGAAACAAGTAGTACGTTAGTCCATTGATGAGGTTATGAAGCTTAGTCCACTCAGGTTTTTGAAACATGCATTGTATATGCTTATTCACTGTTTGCTGTGTCGTGCGATGTTATCCGAATCAGTTTTAGGCTTGAAACAGTTGGTGATCAAACTAAACCTTAGTACCCCTGCGTGATGAATTGACCTTATACTAGGCATGTAGGGTAATTCAGACTTCCTGCTTGGGGTGACAAGCAACATTACTGGTTATCTCATAGGAAATTCATTTCAGTGGTCAATAGCGATAATCTGGTTGCAGGTTAAATAATGGGTACTGTTCTCTGCAAGCTTGTGCGGATCGAAACTTGCTTGGCACCAGTCCATGAGGTATCTACTTGTTAGTATGAGCTATGTAGAGAGATGTAACCTGACTGGGTTTCTCGAGATAGTGGGAATCAATGGTTGAAATTCTTCGTGACATGGCTGAAAATCGGACACAGTGGCGCAGATGTATTGACTTCTTAACATCTAGAGCTTGAACATTTTCACTTACCTAGATTCTTCAAGTTCCTTTTCCTCTCATACACATTTTTCCATCTTGATATAATTTGTTCTCTATCTACTTGTTCTTTGCATGTTGTAAAGTGTGGCAACTTGAAGCGGTGTACTTGCATGCGAGGTTCTGCGCAGATATTATCTTTCTGTCTCCGTCTGTCTATCCATCCAGGTTATGTTGGTTTAAACTGTCTACTCTCCTCATTGTGGTCAGAATCAGGTGGTGTAAGTCTTTTTGCATTTCCCAGTTACGACGTTGTTGCTGTAATCCACTGGCTACTGCTTACTAATTAATTTAGGTTACCAACCGTTTTTCCTGTTGTTTCTACAGCCTACTAAAGATTACGCCGGGCCCAATGAGGGAGAGAAACGCATCCACTCTCAGATAAGCGGTTAGCTATCACTCTGTAACTCCTCACTGGACACTTCCATAGTACGATAGATCCCGTAGAGGCGTAACCGATATCAGCTTCGTATGCTCAGTAAGTTGCAAACACTTCTTTGTATTAACGCGTTATCATAGTCCAATCAGGTAATTTGGAAAGGGCGGGCATCCTGCGCAGATTCTCTCCAACGACAGTGTACGGCAGTAGGATATATCTATATCCATTGCTTCCAAATGCCATGATATGCGTTCATAGCATCTACTAGAGAAGTGCTATTCACTGCCTTCATTTGGCGGGGGTTTCCTTAGAAGTCGAAGGGCAAAAGCAAATGTCCGGCGCTTATCACCGGGTTGGTGAATACTGAAGGTCTACGTAGAGGATTGAAAAACCTCGATTCCAAAACAGTGGTGTGCATGGGCTCCAGGTCCCAGATAGAACGAATGGCGTATGAACCTATTCTGGACACTGGCAACCATGGGAGTGCAGCTCCTGATTTTGCTCCACCTTATGGATTAGACTTTTAATCAAAGGTTCAGAGAGTGGTCACGTAAGCCAGCTACCTGTTTCGGTCTTGGCACCTGATTAATATCCCAGCGCTCATACAAAATATGAAAATACGGTATAAAATGAAGATTTCAAAGCAGTTAACCAACTTTCCTGTGAATACTCAAACTTCCCGCACTATGAACTTTATTACTGGCTCCTCAATTTATTGCTATTATATTGTTTTTGCTTTTACATATGAACTGTGTTTTTTTATCACTACCATTTTCACTTTTGTCTTTATCTTCACTTGATTCAGCTGCTCTACATTGCTTAGATTTCCAATCTGTCTCTATCGTTTTGAGTCGCTAAAGAGTTGCCCCCATAAAGCTATCCTCCAGTGCTAGATCTGACACAGCTATCCTGGAACCACGCATACCGTGTAAGCTAGCCACCTTCAGCGTTCGCACCCTGATGCAGATCGGACAGCAGACAGGTTTGGCTAGGATTGTGGAAAGCCTCGCTATTGATGTATGCTGCATCTCAGATCTGCATACAAAATCCCAGTGATGTGCTTCGTATTAGTTCCCCATCTGTCAGCTCGAAAAGTAAATTTCATGTGCGCTTATCCGGTGACCATATGGGGTCGGGAATCAGCCTCATGGGTGTTGGTGTCCGCGCTAAGCGCTCGAGCTGAAGCTGCACTACTCGACTGGATCCTCATCAATGGTTGTCTGTGTACTGTTAGGCTAGAAGGTTCATATCGCGTAAGAAGTAACCGGCAAGAGAAACGATGTTTCTGTCATCTCTGCCTTTGCTCCGACAGATTGCATCTTGAGTGCAGCCAAGGATTAACTGCGTTATCAACTGAGTGACCTTCTCAGCCAAGTGCGCTCAACAGATATCGTAGTCCTAGTTGGGGATCAGGATTCTAGGCTCAGATGAGAGTCGTTTGGGTGGCCAATGGGCACTAGTTAGCCACACGTCAGATAATGGGGATCGTCTTCTGCAGCTTTGTGCAGATCACAGCATATTTCTGTCCAGCACCACCTTCCCACACAGCTATCGCCGTTTCGCTGCTTGGGGTTCTCCGTCTGTCACTCAACCATCGACTCAAATAGAGCATATTGAAATCAGCTACGGATGGCATGGGTGCATACAGGACTGCTTCTCTATGTGGAGTACTTGCCTGGTCTCTGATCATCCTTTAGTGTGCTAAACTCGTCTTGTGTTTTGGTGGTCATCAAAATCGTCGTCTTAAATAGGTCGATACAAGCAAATTAGTTGCACCTAACATTGCAGCTAAATACCAATCCGAGTTAGATTTAAGACTAGCTACCGATCCTCCAGAAAGTGTAGACTAGAACTGGCCGCAATTGCAAGGTGCCACAAAAATGACGAGTAAAGCAGCTTGCGGCTTATAAGAACGTCCCGCTAATAAACACTGCTTCTCTCTGAGCTATCTCCAACTTTTGGCGCCTGTTGGATCATTCTGGTGGATAGAGAGTGCAATGGTTCGCGTAAGTCTTACGTGGAAGATTATACATTATACAACGGTTACTCAAGGACTGTGAGGCTTGGTGGTTGGAATGTGCAAG